AGGGGTCGGGGTCAGGGTGGTGGATGCTGATGGGATTACGCGCTCGCAGGTCAAAGTGCCCATGAAGTTCAACGGGCGCTCAGCGGTGCAGGTGCGTTCACCCCGCGACCTGGCTGACTTGGCTGCCTACACTGCCCTCCGGTTCCACCTGCAGAGCCCAGAGCCCGCGGCCGGGCAGGATGCCGTGGACCGCTTCGTGCTCTACATGGGCAGCCGCCAGGTGCCGCAGGCAGGCAGTGGGTGGCGGGCGTGGGCGTGCCTGGTCCTGTCCCTGACCGCACCTCTGCCCACTGCAGGCCTCTGGGGACTACATGGGCGTGACGCTGCGCGGCCAGAAGGTGCACTGGGTGTACCAGCTTGGCACGGCCGGCCCCGCCACCCTGAGCATCGACGAGGATATCGGGGAGCAGTTTGCGGCCGTCAGCATCGACAGGTGGGTGTCTGGGATGGGGGTCCCACTGCCGAGCCCCACCCTGCCCCGTCCCCCTCACCCCTCCTCTTGGGCCCTCAGGACCCTCCAGTTTGGCCACATGTCTGTCACGGTGGAGAAGCAGACAGTTCATGAGACCAAGGGCGACGTGGTGGCCCCTGGGGCCGAGGGGCTGCTCGACCTGCGGCCCGAGGACTTCGTGTTCTACGTGGGCGGCTACCCCAGCAGCTTCATGGTGAGCCCGGGCCACCAGGCTGCAGGGTGGGCCATGCCAGGCGACGCCCAGAACAGGGCTCTGACCATACGCTGTGTGCCTAGCCCCCTGAGCCCCTCCGCCTCCCTGGCTACGAGGGCTGCATTGAGCTGGACACGGTGAATGAGGAGGTGGCCAGCCTCTACAACTTCGAGAGGACCTTTGAGCTTGACACAGCGGTGGACAAGCCCTGTGCCCGGTGCGTGCAGCCCACCACCCCCTGACCCCTGACCCTGCTGCCCCTGCCTGACCCTGTGCCTGTGGCCTGCAGCTCCAAGTCCACTGGGGATCCGTGGCTCACGGACGGCTCGTACCTGGACGGCACCGGCTTTGCCCGCATCAGCTTTGACAGCCAGATCAGCCACACCAAGCGCTTTGAGCAGGAGCTGAGGCTCGTGTCCTCCCACGGGCTCATCTTCTTCCTGCAGCACCAGGCAGGGCCCCCCACCTGCCCTCCGACTGGCCCTGCCCAGGCCCCCCACCTGCCCTCCGACTGGCCCCGCCCAGGCCCCCCACCTGCCCTCCGACTGGCCCCGCCCAGTCCCCCCACCTGCCCTCCGACTGGCCCCGCCCAGTCCCCCCACCTGCCCTCCGACTGGCCCCGCCCAGGCCCCCCACCTGCCCTCCGACTGGCCCCGCCCAGGCCCCCCACCTGCCCTCCAACTGGCCTCGCCCAGTCCCCCCACCTGCCCTATCTCTGTGTCCCCAGGAGCAGTTCTTGTGTCTGGCTGTGCGTGAAGGGACACTGGTCCTCCTTTATGACTTTGGCATGGGCCTCCAGGAGGTCGCCCAGCCTCCGAACCTGCAGCGCCTGACAGCGTCCAGCAAGGCAGTGAGTGCGGGTAGGGAAGGGCCGGGCAGGGGAATGGTGGGCAGGGCTGGGCTCCCCTGCAGCTGGGGCCTGGCCATGCCTGCAGATCCAAGTGTTCCTGCTGGGTGGCAACCACAAGCGCGTGCTGGTCCGTGTGGAGCGGATGACCGTGTTCAGTGTGGACCATGACAACACTCTGGAGCTGGCCACTGCCTACTACCTGGGTGGGGTGCCACCAGAGCAGCTGCCCCCAAGGTGGGAGCCAGGGAGGGGGCACTTGGCATGGGACAGGGGGGTGTGGGAGGATGGGCTGGGCTGACCCTGCCTCCGCAGCCTGCGGCAGCTCTTCCCTACGGGGGGCTCCATCCGTGGCTGCGTCAAGGGCATCAAGGCTTTGGGCAAGTACGTGGACCTCAAGCGGCTCAACACCACGGGCGTCAGCTCGGGCTGCACCGCCGACCTGCTGGTGAGTGCCATTCCCGCCCCTGGCCGGGCCCTGCTCCTCGCCACGGCCCCCACTCAGCTTTGCCCACCCCCAGGTGGTCCGCGCCATGACCTTCCACGGCCATGGCTACCTGTCGCTGGCGCTCCCCGACGTGGCGCCCATCAGCAGCAGCATCTACTCCGGCTTCGGGTTCCGCAGCACCCAGGACAGCGCCCCACTCTACCAGCTGTCCTCCCCTGTGAGTGGGCAACGTGGGCCCCTGGGAGGGAGCCTGGATCGCAGGCCTGGTCGGCTGACTGGCTCCCGCACCCACTCCAGGATGGGCTGTGCCAGGTGGCCCTGCGGCAGGGCCACGTGACCCTCCAGCTGCTCAGGACAGAGCTCAGGAGCCGTGGGGGCTTTGCTGACGGCACCAGCCACTACGTGGCCTTCTACGGCAATGCCACTGGGTAAGCCCGAGGGTCTGCCTGGGCCTTCCCTACCCTGGGCTGCTGGTGGACAGGGCAGGCGGGCAGGTCTGGGAGACACCGCCGTCCGCCTGCAGGGTCTGGCTCTACGTGGATGATGAGCTGCAGCAGAGGAAGGCCCCCCAGGGGCTGCCCCAGCCCCGCCAGTCCCAGGAACCCTCAGAGCTGGTTCTGGGAGGCCTGCCAGAGGCCGGTGACGTCCACAACTTCAGTGGCTGCATTCGCAACGTCTTCGTGCAGAGGTGAGCAGAGGACCTGCAGGAGCTGGGGCGCCGACTCCCGCGTCACTCTGACCCCTGCTGCCACCCCACAGGCTCCAGGAGCCACAGCGTGTGTTCAACCTGCAGCTGAGCGAACGCAGTGTTAACACCAGCACAGGCTGTGCCCCGGCCCCCCTCGCCCAGGCCCTGGGGCCACAGGGGCTCCAGGTAGGGGTGCGGGTGCTGATGGCAGGGAGGGGCTGGGGTGTGGACCAGCAGCCCGAGCTGTCCCTGCAACCCCATGTCTCAGGCTCCCCGCCGCAGCCGCCAGCCCACCCAGCACTCCTGCACACCACATCCTCAACCAGGGACCCTGGGGGACTCCTACCAGTTTGGGGGCCCCCTGTCCAGCTACCTGGAGTTTGCAGACATCCCTGCCCCCCACAGGAACAGGTAAGGTCTGGGCCTGCATGGGTGGGTGTGGTGGGACCACCGGACAAGCAGCTCTGTGGCTTACAGGTTCCGACTGAGCATGCTCGTGCGTCCCCGTACACCCCATGGCTTCCTGCTGCTCGCTGCACCCCCGACCGCCAGCAGCCCCTCCCTGCTGCTGGCCCTGAGCCATGGACACGTCATCGCTCAGACCCAAGGCCCCGGGCCCCGGCTCCAAGTGCGGAGCCGCCGGCGTGCCCGGGCTGGCCGGTGGCACAAGGTGAGTGCCAGGACAGAGGGGAGCTGCTGGCAGGGTCCCTGGGAATGACTGGCTGACCTGCCTCTCGCTCTCCCCTTAGGTGTCTGTGCACTGGGAGAAGGGTCGGATCCAGCTGCAGGTGGACAGGACCCGGGCCTGGAGCCAGGAGGGGCCCCACTGGAACCCCCAGCTCCATACCGTCTTTGTCGGGGGTCTCCCAGCCAGCAGCCTTGGCCCAAAGCTCCCGGTGAGAACTCCTGCCCCATCCCAGGGCCATGTCCCAGCCTAGCTGGCCAAACCCTCGGCTGCCTCTGACCCAGCCCCACCTGCTTTCCCCCCAGGTATCCTCAGGGTTTGGTGGCTGTGTGAAGAGACTGCAGCTGGATGGGCGGTCCCTCAGGGCCCCCACTAGGATGGCAGGGGTCACACCCTGCCTCTCGGGGGCCCTGGAGCAGGGCCTGTTCTTCCCAGGCAGCGGGGGCGTCGTCACCATAGGTGTGTGGGCACTGGGGTGAGGCCATGGTGGGAGGCTGGCACTGGGCTCTGGGGGTCCTGAGTAGGCCCACACTGCCTCTCCTGGTACCCCTTGCAGGTTTCCCAGGGACCACACTGTCCAGCCTGGAGCTGGAGCTGCGGCCTTTGGTGGCCACGGGGCTCATTCTGCACCTGGGCCAGCTAGATGCCGCTCCTTACCTGCAGCTGCACATGTTCGGGCAGCAGGTAAGCCTGGGCAGCAGGCAGGCAGGCTGGCACGGCCCCTCCCATGCCAGCTTTGAGCTGGCCAGGCCCGACCTCCCCGCCATCCCCGCCAGGTGCTGCTGCGAGCCGACGACGGGGCGGGTCCCATCTCTACTTGGGTGACAATGCCTGTGGCGCTGTGTGACGGGCAGTGGCATAGACTGACAGGTGAGTTGCGGGACACAGGGCCTCCCCCCCTCCCTCTCAGACCCAGGGTGGCCCTGGAATGCCCACGAGGCTGTACTCCCCGCAGTGACCAAAGGCAGCAGTGTGCTGCAGCTCAAGGTGGACGCAGAGAGCAACCACACGTGGGGCTCCGTCTCTGCCACCGTGCCGCACCAGGCCCTGCTCCTGCACCTGGGGGGCCTGCCAGGTGAGCGGGCAGCCCTGCCCTCCATCTCAGGATGGGGGCCCCGGGGCTTCACTGCCCCTGCTCACCTCCCTCTCCCTGCAGTATCATCTGGGTCCCCGAGCTGGGCGAGTCCCCAACCTCCGGCTTACAGTGGCTGCATGAGGAACCTCGTGGCTAACGGCTCTCCAGTCGCCGTGACACGCTCGGCAGGGGTGCAGGGCGCGGTGGGCGCTGCCGGCTGTCCAGCTGTGTGAGGCAGCCGCGTCCAGTCCACCCACCCCGCCCGCCAGGTTGGGGCCAGCCTCTGGGAGCCCTGCCCACCACCTGGGTCTGAGTGAAAAATGGCCTCTCCAGAAATGGTCACCCAGGGCTGAGCCGGCCTGTTCCGTTTAACCCATTGTCTCCCTCCCAGAACAAAATAAAATTCACCTCTTTCTGAAGTCTGAAGTTACAACTGAGCGTCTGACTGCAGGCTGGGAGGACCAGGGGCCAGCAGTGGTCCACTTCTGTCCACAGGGAAAGCTGGCTCCTACTTGAGCCTGAGCCTGGTCCAGCCAATGGCTGGAGAGCTCTCGCAGCCACCAGCCGTCCCACTGAGCCAGCCGAGCAGTTGGCAGATAGAAGAAAAGGCTTTATTTATTAAAGGGGGGCTGCACCAAGTCACAACACCACTACTGAGTCACGCGGCTAGGGGGCGCTATAACTTAGTCTAGGCTCATGTCCTCCTCCTCGTCTTTCTTGTCCTTTGCATCGCCCTCCTTGGGCTCCGGCTTGGCACTGTTCTGCATTGCTTTGGCGAATGCTTCCACATCTGCAAGGCAGACACGCGAGGCGGGGGCATGGGGTCAGCTGGCTGGGCCCACAGTGCCCACTCCATCCACTCCCCACCTTGCCCTGACTCATGTGTCCTCCACACACCTGGCCATTAGCCAGGGTCCAGCAGGGCCTCGGGGGGCACTCACTGTCCAGCAGGAACACACGGACACCCCAGGTACTCACCGCCCTTGTTGGCAGCCTCCACAGCCTCCGCGGGCAGCCCAAACTGGCACATGAGGGGGCCCAGCTGGCCTGAGGCCAAGGCTGCACTGAACATGCCCAGAGCCTGCAAGCAAGGGCCAGGCCGTCAGAACAGGATGGAGGGTGGCTGGCCCTCCCTGGCCGCCCACGGCCCGGGGTGTCACACCCACCTGCTGGAACTGCGGGGAGGTCAGCGTGTTCTGGATCTCGTCTGCCGTCCGTGGCAGCGACTCCCCCGAGGGCAGGTAGGGCAGCAGGCGCTCCTGGACGTCCGCGTTGGCCAAGATGGGTGCCATGACCTCTGGCGTCAGCACACTGGCCAGGTCCACTGGGGGGGCATGCCATGAGCCGGCCGGCACGCACACACGGGCCCAGGGCCCCCGTACCTCGCCGGCCGGCACGCACACACGGGCCCAGGGCCCCCGTACCTTGTTGGCCACCCCCAGGTGCAGCGGGCACGCTCATGGTGGCCAGGATACTCTGCAAGTCACTCAGCTGGATGGGCTGCGCGGGGCTGGTGGCCGTGCTGGCCCCGTTCCCAGAGCTGGGGGCCGGGCTCGGGCTTGGCACTGCTGCTGCCACGGCTGGTGCTGTCGGGGCTGGGGTGGCGCGGGCAGAAGAGGTGGCAGATGACGGGGTGGCCGCTGCTGACTGGCTCCGGGAGCTGGGCAGAGGGGCAGTACAGTAGCGCCTGGGTCCAAGGCCTCAAACCGGGGCCCCTGGAGAGAGGTCGGTCAGCAGGCACCTCTCACCGTCAGCCCAGGCTCAGGAGGGACCCCAGGCTCACCTGGATGAGGAGCTGCTGGCCGGAGGTCCCCCGCTCCCCAGTAAGCTGGCCAAGCCTGGCCCCGTCAGCGCCCCCAGGCCCCCTGCAAGGACAAGAAGTGTCAGAGACCAACCTGGGGCCAGGGGGGCCCAGCTGCAGCTGGTTGCTTCCAGAGCACTTTCGGGCTGTCCCGTTAGCCACGCCACCCACGCCCAAGCACTCAGTCCTCCCACACCCCAACCCCGCAAGCAGGCACTGGGCAGCCTACCTAGGCCCCCGAGGCCGGCAGGGCCAATGAGCTGCATGAGCTGGCTGTGGCTCATGTTCCCCAGGAGGCTCTGCAGGCCGCCCTCTCCTGCAAGACACGGGGCTCAGCCGCGGTCCCGCACAGCCCCCCGCCCGCCCGCCCGCCCGCCCGGGGACCCTACCGCCCAGCGCCGAGAGCTCGTGCCCGCTGCCCCCGCTCGCGCCCAGCGCCCCGGGCAGCGGGGGGTTGTTAAGGCATTCGTTCACTTTGCGGCAGTGCTCCTCGTCCTGGTCCGTCTTGGGCTCCTGGGGGGACGGGCACCATGGCAGCCCCCAGCACAGCCGATCTCACTTGCTACAGACCTGCCAGCACAGGCCCTACCTTCCTGGCTGCACCCCCTGCCCTGCACCCTGGCTGTCTGCGAGTCATGCCCTGCAGGACGATGGTCCCTTACCCGCACCAGGGCCTGGCAGGGGTGGGCACCCTCTCCCCTGCACACCTCCCCTCCCCGGAGCTGCACCCCTGCACACGGTGGCCCTCCCCTCCCCAAGCCACACCTGCATCCAGAAGAAGAGGCGCTTGGCGCCAGCCTTGAACTTGAGCACGTAGACGCGGCCGCTGGGGCACTGCGGCACCCTCTTGAACTCGCAGTCGTCGGGGAAGATGATGAGATCCTGGGGGCCACAGGGGACACGAGCTTAGGGCCCCGAGGTGGACAAATGAGGCGCTGGCCTCGGGCAGGGAATGCACTCACGTCCTCCACGCTGCCGGAGGCGCGGTCCTTCCAGCAAAAGTGGATGAGGGAGTCGTCCGTCTGCTGGATGTACACGAGCCCCTTGCGCTTGTCCGGGGTCACTGTGGTCCCCTTGAGCGACATCTTGCCTGCTCGGAACTCCACCAGATACTTGGTGGAGGAGCCCCGGGCACCGGGCACCAGGCTCGGGAACAGCGCACCTGAGGTTGTCATCCTGAGGGAGGAGGGTCAGACGTCATGCCTCTGGTGCCCACGGACCCTCGCCCGAAACCTGCCCGCCCTCATCCCACGGACCCCGGCCCGAAACCTGCCCGCCCTCATCCCACGGATCCCGGCCCCAAACCTGCCCGCCCTCATCCCACGGACCCCGGCCCGAAACCTGCCCGCCCTCATCCCACGGATCCCGGCCCCAAACCTGCCCGCCCTCATCCCACGGACCCCGGCCCGAAACCTGCCCGCCCTCATCCCACGGACCCCGGCCCCAAACCTGCCCGCCCTCATCCCACGGACCTCGGCCCCGCACCTGTCCTCATCTCACGGACCCCAGCCCCGCATTCGCCCTCGCCCCACGGACCCCGGCCCCAAACCTGCCCTGACACCGGCTCCGTCCAGTCCCCGACCGCCCAGTCCGCCTCCCATCCTGCACCGACCGCCCCGCCCTCGGCCTCAGCACCGCCGGCCCGTGCCCCCCGCGCCCCGCACTCGGCCCTGGGCCCCGGGCGCCCTGCTCCGCCCCAGCCCGACCCCGCACCCGAACCTGGCCGCCCCGGACTCGACCGCAGCGTCTCCGGGCTGGCTCTTCTTCCTCAGCGTCTGCCGGGCCTCGCCGGAAGTTCACACTCGGCCCGCCCCCGCTCGCCGCTGTCGCTGCCGATTGGGCCCCGACCGCCGGGCAGCCCGGGCTAACCCACCGACGATTGGCTAGGGAGGCCGCCCATGCGCAGGCCCCGCCCCGGCCCGCCCCCGCGCCGGCGGCTGCTTTCCGGCGGAAACGCGGGCCGCGGGGGCACGCGGGCCAGAGAGGCCCCTATTGTTGCTGTGTCATAGGGGAGCGGCGGCGGCCCCTGGTGGCGGCGCCGGGAACCGCGGGGCTCGACGCCCGCCTCTGGACAACCGGGTCACATGGGGGGGGCAGGTTACCTGGGGGGGGGAGGTCACTCTCTGAGGGGCAGGTCACCCTGGGGGGGAGGTCACTCTCTGAGGGGCAGGTCACCCTGGGGGGGAGGTCACTCAGAAGGGCAGGTCACCCTGGGGGGGAGGTCATCCCCGTGGGGGGCGGGGAGCAGGTCACCTGGGGGGGCAGGTCACCTGGGGGGGGCAGGTCACCTCTCTGGGGCGTGCCCGGGGGACAGATGGATGCCCAGCACCAGGTGCCAGAGCTCACAAGTGGGGGCGGGGGACCACCTGGGACATGTGCTATAGTGGGTGACCACCGAGGGCATCGGCAAAGCGAGGGACACCAGGACACAGCGCAGCGTGACGAGGCCTATGGCAGCCTCCTCTTGTCCTGTGCCAGGGCAGCGCGGGTGCTTTAATAACTGGCCCCGGGGCCTCCCAGTGGGGTAGAGCAGGCCAACCCTCGGCCTTCATTTGGTATTGGTATCCCATACGGGCACTGGTTCAGGTCAGCACTCTCCATCCAGCCCCCTGCTTGTGGCCTGGGAAAGCAGCGGAGGACGGCCCAAAGCCTCGGGGCCCTGTGCCCACATGGGAGGCCCAGAGGAAGCTCCTGGCTTTGGATCAGCTCAGCTCTGGCCACTGCAGCCACCTGGGAAATGAACCACTCAGAGGATCCTTCTCTCTGTGTAGCTGCCTTTCCAATAAGAATAAATAAATCTTATTTTTAAAATGTTTTTGAAAAGCAAAAGAAGTTCCCTTCCACTGGCTCACTGACCAAACACCTGAAAGCAAACATGGTGAGGCCAGGTGAGACGACAGGACAGCTTGGGTCTCGGTGGGCAGCCACAGCCCTTCCTGTCTAGGGGCAGACTGCTCCCCTGGGGTGTGCACATGGGGAGGGGCGGTCCCTGTGGTGCTCTTTGCATTTGGAACTTTCTGGAATTTTCTGGATTCTGGAGCACTGGCATCTTGGGTAAGCCTGCCCCTTCGCCCAGGGCCAAGAGCCACAGTGCCCTCCCGCTGCCCGGCCGTCCAGAGCACCAGCCACCCAGCAGGTCCAGAGTCGGGCTAGCCAGAGGCTGCTGTACCTGGTGTTGACAGCGGCCTCTGACCCCCAGGGGAGGGACCCCTCTTCTGCTCCCCCAGGCCACAGTAGCCCGCTGGTCTGCTGTCCTCTGACCATGAGAGAGCAGGGCCCATGTGTGCCACCCAGCTAGGTCTTGTGCAGAGGTGTGGCGCCTCCACACGCTCACAGCTGTGTGCCCGAAGGCCACTCATGCCAACAGACCCACCTTTACCCAACAGTACAAGGGAGCTCCTTGCTGCCCCCGGCAGGTTTTCTTGACTGACATCATGCTGCATGGCAAGTGACTGGACGACTGCCAGGCAGAGCTGTGGCCACAGAGCGTGGCCAGTTTGGGCCAAGGCCAGAGGCACACGCCCGTTTCTCCACCAAAACCACAGGCTGCTCCACAGGCTCCTAGCCAGGGCAGCTGGACCCTGTGGGACTGGTGAGTCTTCGTGATGATGGAGAGCACTCCCAGTCCTCCAAGTCCTCCCCCTGCTAAGCCAGAGCCTGCAGGGCTGGCTCCCCACCCTGGTGGTCTGCCAAGGACCCAGAAAGCATGTGGCCTGTCCTCTGAGTCAGCCCGGCAGCCGGTAGCCTAGAGCTGTGTCAGCTTTGGGGCAGGCTGGCCAGGCCAGCGGCCAGTGGCACCAGCAGGACACCTGGCTGCCGTCTGGACTCTCCGAGGAGGGCTCCTTCCCATCCCAGGGCTTCAGTGCTGACAAAGCCAAGGCCCCACGTGGACAGTGTGTGTGCTGTGTGTGGGGCCTCCCCATACCAAATCGTGACCGGGCAGGCCCAGGTGAGGTGGCTGTGGGTGGCAGGGATGACGTAGCTGCCAGGCCTCTGCCAGCTGTCCCAGAGACTGGCCAGCGGCAGCGGGCGCCATGGCTGCCCTTGGATCTCAGTCCCATCACTCCAACTGCTGCGTTTTGCACCAGGCACTGGCAAGGACAGCCCACAGCCAGCAAGCACACAGCTAGCTGACAGCTGCAACCGAGGTCATCCTCCAAGCCACACAAGGCAACCTTAGGAATAGGGCTGTGTCCTCCGTGCTAGATGGGTGTGGGGCCGAGCCCAGCAGCCCTCAGGAAGGTCCTGAGCAAATAGCAGGCAGGCGGTTCCTGCAGGGGCTGCCAGGCGCCCAGGCTCCTGTCCTGTCCAACTTCGCAGCTTGGCAGCTCTGGGAACCCCTCTCCCCAAGCCAGCCTGGAGAGCTGAAGGCCCACGGCAGTGCTGCCCCAGCGCTAGCAGCCTGCCCCTCCTCTTGGAAAATGTCCCCCGTGGCTGCATTCAAGATGCTGGGATGACGGCCTAGGGCAGGCGGACCCCAGCCCTCCAACATTGCCGGCACCCATAACCTGGTGGCCAAGCTAGCCAGACAACCATTCACTCCGAGACCTCCACGGACAGTGACAGGAGAGCCAGACAGATGACACCATGACTGCTAACACGGGTGTGCCCGTGTGTGTGTCTCTGGCTCTGAGAGCTCGGGACCATCAGCAGTGGGGCCGTGTGTGTGTGTGTGTCTGTCTGTCTGTCTGGCTCTCTCTGGCTCTGAGAGCTCGGGACCATCAGCAGTGGGGCCGTGTGTGTGTGTGTGTGTGTGTGTGTGTCTGTCTGTCTCTGGCTCTGAGAGCTCGGGACCATCAGCAGTGGGGCCGACCCTTTGCCTAAAGCACCGACTCTGACAAGGATGAGGCTGGAGGACACCCCTGTGCTCGGTTAAACACCTTTAATTTCACCAGGGAAGGTGAACCTGTTTCTGCCTCTTCCCTAGCACACATCACACGATTCGTTGTGCCTGAAACATGCTTACTGGGCAAAACAAAGGCAGCCATGCCGGAGATGCCCGGGGTGAGAGCTGGGGCAGCCCTGGCAGCTCGCGGCTCAGGCGCCAGCCTGCGGTCTGGCCCTTCGTCCTGTGGACTGGCCGCAGTCCCAGAACTGGCCTTCCGCCTCCCGCCCTGGCTGGGGCTGCTTTAGCTGGACGGGATCCGGCCAGTGAGGCACGCACATCCTGCTTGTCAGCAAAGTACAAGCCACACGGTTCTCACACACCTTGGGAGGACTGTTATTATTGACATAAAAATACAGAATCTGACAGCTGCTCCGGCATGTCGGTGCTGTGCTGGCTGGGGCACTGTGTCTGCCGCTCCGCAGGGCAGCTGGCACTGCCCACAGCATGCTCCCCACCGGCTGGCCAGAGGGGAAGAAGCGTCCAGAAGCTCTGCCAACACCGGAGAGAGTGACCATCCTCTTCCTGCAGCAGCGGCACCTGCACGAGGAGGGAGGTGGCACGCAAGGCCCGGCTGCGCCATCTCTGCAGCCAGGCCAAGGACATGGAGGCGGTAGTCAGGCTGTGGAGGGTTTGGCAACTGACAGTTCATGAGAAACAGGTCCTTGAAGGGTGATGCCGACCCGGGCCTCAAGCGGCTGCCTCCCGCCCAAAGCTTGAGGTGGCTTTGCGGTGCCTGTCCTCACGGGCGCCTGGCTTCTCAGTAGATGTCTGGGCAGTCGACGAAATTCCGCTCAAAGTAGTCCCCTGCATAGAGCCAGTCAGGTGTCCCCGTGTAGGGGTTGGTGCCTGGGAAGAACCACCTGCAGCACGAGGAAGGACAGAGCACGGGGTCAGCCTGCCGGGGGAGGACACAGCTATGCGGGCACGGGGTCAGCCTGCCGGGGGAGGACACGGTCCTGCGGGCATGGAGCAGGGGAAGTCACAGAGGTCACCACCAGAGACCGAGGGTTCCGTGTCCTAGGGAGTGACAACTTTAGGCAAGCGGCACCATCTGACACACCTGGCTGCTGCTTCTCACTGGATGAGGGCAGAGAAGGCACTGCAGCTGCCCCAGAGCTCAACCCACTGCCCCTGCTATCCCCGCCCGGGCACGTCCTGGGCTCTGCCCTCTGCCCGCTGTCTCAGGAGAGGAGATTGGTCCCACAAGGCCTTAAAGACAGGATGCAGGGAAGGTCGGTCATGTTCAAGCGGCTTCTCTCCAGTGAGGACCAGCCTGCCACAGGAAGCTGAGACCACTGCAAACCCAAGCATTTCACAAACGCCAGCCACGAATGGCCTGCCAGGTGGCTGCATGAAGCTGACGGCTGAGGAAGGGTGCCCAGCTCTGCGCAACGGGCACCTCGTGTACACATCTGTGGCCACCATCTGATCCCTGCCGAGTGGATGACCTGGGAGCGCTCAGCAGCACACACAGCCAAGACCCTCATGGCTAACTGACCCCTGCTCTCGGGAGCTGTGGGGGGTCTTCCTCACTGTCTCAGGGGTGTGTGTGTGTGTGTGTGTCCCCTCCTGTCTCAGGGGTGTGTGTGTGTGTGTGTGTGTGTCCTCCTGTCTCAGGGGTGTGTGTGTGTGTGTGTCCTCCTGTCTCAGGGGTGTGTGTGTGTGTGTGTGTCCTCCTGTCTCAGGGGTGTGTGTGTGTGTGTGTGTGTGTGTCCTCCTGTCTCAGGGGTGTGTGTGTGTGTGTGTGTCCTCCTGTCTCAGGGGTGTGTGTGTGTGTGTGTCCTCCTGTCTCAGGGGTGTGTGTGTGTGTGTGCTCTCCTGTCTCAGGGTGTGTGAGGGGGCGGCCCCTCTCACTGTCTCAGGTATATGTGGGGGCCTCACCTTGTCCGCCACTCGGCGTCCTCCTTGGCACGCTTCCTCCGGGCCTCTCTCTGCTTCTCTTCCAGCCTCTCCTTCTCTTGGCTGGCCAGATCTAGGGTGAGTGAAGCTCAGGTGAGAAGCTGGCTGGATACCGGGGCGGCAAGCTGCACCATCGTGTGACCCAGTGCCCTCCACCACAGGGCCACTCTGCATGGTGAGCGTGTGCAAGTGGGGATCAACACCACCCACAGGCCACTGAGCGTGCCCTCTGTGCAAGGACAGGGACAGATTCCAAAGGTGGACAATTAGATGCCCACAGGAGACACAGGAAGTGAGCCCAGGATGCTGAGAGCTGTGGGCCCGTGTGACGTTGGCTGGCACCATGGGGAGCCCCCAGCATCCCCTCTGGCTGCTCCGCTCCTGACCCAGCTCCCTGCTAACAGACCTGGGAAAGCAGGGGACAAGGGCCACTGCACCACGTGGCAGCCCCAGGAGTCCTGGCTCTGGGCCTTATAGCTGTTGCAGAGTGAATCATAAGCCTAACTCTACCAAATACGTATACTGGAAATGTTTCTTTTAAGAAGCCGGGCTCACTCTGCCCTCACTCCTGGCCTCCACATCTCTCACCCACCGGGGGACAGTGCAGCTTGAGCCCTGCAGCCTGGACACCCCTCCCTGGGCTCACCCATGTTGCCATTCTCCATGCCGCGAATGTCAGGGCGCAGGCGGCAGTCTGTGGGGGGCAGGGCCTTCTCCATGCCAGTCCGCAGCTCATTGAGGCTCACGGTGAAGCTGGTGAAGTTGTACATCTGCAGGTGGCACTGGGCGTCAGCACGGGGCATCCTCCTCTCTGCCCACCTCCTCTGGCCTGAGATGTTCCTGCCAGGGCCACCTGTGTCCTGCTGTGAGCCACTCCACCCCCCTGCCAGCCCCGTCCCCTCTCCCTTAACCTGTGACAGTTCACACCTGCTTCACTTTTTAGCCCAGATCCTCACACTCATGTTGCACACCTGCCAACTCAGCACTTGGGCCGTCAGAAATCTCTCCCTGAAGACTCTGCTATGGTTCACAGTGTGGCCCACCCCAGCAACCCCAAGGCTCACTGCAGCCCCTCCCCGGGGCAAGGCTCAGCACCATAACCCCTCCCTGGGGCGTGGCTCAGCACCATAACCCCTCCCCAGGGCAAGGCTCAGCATCATAACCCCTCCCCGGGGCAAGGCTCAGCACCATAACCCCTCCCCGGGGCAAGGCTCAGTACCATAACCCCTCCCCAGGGCAAGGCTCAGCACCATAACCCCTCCCTAGGGCAAGGCTCAGCACCATAACCCCTCCCTGGGGCGTGGCTCAGCATCATAACCCCTCCCTAGGGCAAGGCTCAGTACCATAACCCCTCCCCGGGGCAAGGCTCAGCACCATAACCCCTCCCTAGGGCGTGGCTCAGTAATAAAGCCCCTCCCCAGGGCGTGGCACAGCAAGGAAGCTCCTCCAAGGGTGTGGCTCAGCACTGCCCTTCACCGATGCAGCCTGGGCTTCCCAGCACCTTTTTGGTACCAGGTGGCCTACTTCCTCCTAGGGGGTCTGCTGGCTGGGGGGTCTGGGGGCTAAAGGTCCTCTGACTCTACTCCCAACTCCCTGGCCAAATCACATGGCTGGCAGAAGAAACTCAATAAATAAGCCAATCCATGGACAAAGGAACAGATGCCAATCTGAAAAAGATTTCCTTGACAAAAACATAAGGTTTTTTTTCCCCCTAAGAAAATTACTCCTGGGCCAGTGCTGCAGCCTGATGGCTTAAACTGCCTCATTCAGCTCAGCGTCCCCTGTGGGTGCCGGCTTGAGTCCTGGCTGCAGAAGACGGCCCGAGTCCCACATGAGAGACCCAGGTGGCATTCCTGGCATCTTACAAACATAATAAACAAATAAATGAAACATTAATTTGCAGTCGTACTGTCACACTGGCTCCTCGCCTCCCCCAAAGATAACAGTCAAGGCCAGTGCTGGCCCAGGATAGAGTCCTGGCTGTTCTGCCAGGTCCCTGCTGGTGCACCTGCGTGGCTCCCAGCTCTGGCCTGGTCCAGCTTTAGCTGTTGTGGACAGGTGGGTCAGGAGCCAGCAGGTGGAGGACCTCTGTCTTTCCAATAAACCTTTGTAAACTAAGGGAAGCACAGTGGCTGTGCTAAGGTTCCATGCTTACAGGTGAGCAGTTTGGGTCCTCTTTTTTTAACTAATGCAACACAGTGAAAGCTTATATAAAACACAACTTGTATGTACAAGGGGGGCAGGGGCCCAGCTCTGGCCACGGGCACGTGGGGGCAGGGGTGTCCAGCTCTGGCCACGGGCACGTGGGGGCAGGGGTGTCCAGCTCTGACCATGTGCACACAGCACAGGTGTGTGTTAGGGCCACACTGCAGGCACAGCGGCTGGAAACAGCTCCTGGGGCACAATGCTCTGACCTGTGCAGGCTTGGGGATAGCATGTCAAGGCGCAGGCCTGGGCAGGCTGCAGAAAAGCCCGGGTCCACCGAGGCCACCGGGGGCGGGGGGTGCCGACCTGGGCAGAGTTGGGAGGCCGCGCGTTGACCCTCCAGAGCAGTGTGCTGCCAGGGATGACCTGCACCGTCTCCTGGACCACAGGTACGTCGTCCCCGTCGCTGTCAGCCTTCCCGGGGCCGTCACCCTGCAACACACGGGAGCAGTGCAGCCAGCTCCGGGCCCGCCGTCCGCTCACAGGAAGATGGCACCCTGCGCCCACAACACCGGCACCCCAGGGCGGCACTGTGCTTCCTGAATGCCCCAACAGAAGCGGGCAGGGGCAGCGTTGGCAGCTGGGCGTGGCCAGCGCCAGCAAGACGTGTGGGCCCAAGGATGGCTGAGTGGATGACAACATGGGGGCGGGGGGCTCTGAGAACACAGCAGAAGCTTGCGTGGGCTGCGTAGGCTGCATGGGGCAGGGTGCTGGGTACTCAGCCCAACCAGCCCAGCTCCAGGTGGAGACTCGTGTGAAGGGCCACCTTTTGATGCCCTGGAGGGCCAGCATGGCTGTGTGCTCAGTATATGACATCAGCGAAGAGGCAACAGCCACAGAAACCCCTCAGACCAAAACCACTCAACAGGCTAACCTTCCACCTTCAAGTGCCAACATCCCAGGTGGACACTAGTTTGTGTCCTGGCTGCTCCACTTCCATCCAGCTCCTGCCTGTGGCCTGGGAAAGCAGCAGAGGACGGCCCAAAGCCTTGGGACCTGCACCCGCGTGGGAGACCTGAGGAAGCTCTAGGCTCCTGGCTCCAGGTCAGTGCAGCTCTGGCCATTTGGGGAGTGAACCAGCAGACGGAAGATCTTTCCCTCTCTGTAAATCTAACTTTCAAATAAAAATTAAATCTTAACAAACAAACAAAAAAAGCCCTCAGAATTCTGGAAAAGCTAGAATATTTTTGTTAAATACTGACCATCTCAGGACTGGGAGATTCCAATTCACTACCCGGAAATCAGGGCACCTGTCTGGACCAATCACGTCTCGGCTGGAGTTCACCAGTACTGGGCACAGTGGCTAAGGACGCACGGGTGAGCCACATCCGAGGGCTGGCTCAAGCCCTGGCCGGCTCCACTTCCCACTGAGCTGAGTGCCTGGGTCCCTGCACCCCCGGGAGACCTGGACGGAGCTCTGGTCTCGCAGCTTCAGCCTGCCCAGCCCTAGCCATCATGGCTATCTGGGGGTGAACCAGCAGGTAGACGATCACTCTTTTTCTCCCCCCTCCTCCTTTTTAACTCTGTCTTTCAAATAAATCTTTAAAATAGAAAGGGGAAGACAGACCCCCACCGCCCCCACCGGCGCTGCCAGGGAGCCGCACTCACCAGCCTGCCCTTCCTCACGGGGTCGCCTTTGCGCTCCTGCTTCCGGAAAGACTCGTACGAGGCCACGTCGATGCCCCACAGACACTCGGTCCACTTGCCGTAGATCACAAAGAGCTTCTTTTTGCTGTATTCAGAGCGCACCCAGTACAGCAAGGAGACGCAACGCTGCTGACCCGCCCACAGTGCAGCCCCCACCCTGCAGCGTCGGCCCCGCCCATAGCACCGACCCCGCCCACAGCGCCGACCACGCCCTGAGACCTCAAGGGACGTCCACCCACTCACTCAAGCCCAGTGCTGCGAGCCAGGGGCCACAGGGGACAACAGCACAGAAAGCAGCACGCGCCATGCATGTCCCACTGCAAGCCACACGCATCTCTCCCTTTGCTCTCTCTGGGTCCCCTCCACATGGTCACAGAACAGCAGCCTGACTCCCCAGGGATCACACAGAATGCCGGCAGCTCACCCATGGGCACTGCGGGGTCCCACGTGGCCATGCCTTGCCCCCAGGGAAAGTGCACTGAGGTTCAGAATGTGAACCATGGCGGTGGACACGCCGTCCGCGCCAGTGCAGGTCCAGGCTTTCCAGGTAACTTCCTGGAGGCACACGGGCAGCACAGCTGTGTGCCAAACGGCATGCCAGTGTTTGACAGGCTGTCTCCAACAGGTGGGCTTCTGGTGCCCAACAGAGGGGGCACAGCTCATCTGGAAACTAGACTCCCCGCACTCTGTGTGGCCTACACAGCTCATGAGGCAAAGCCTGCTAACGGACCCAAGCAGGGACTAAGATCTTCTTGACCACTGGAGAGTTCTGCTCACTGAGGCCTGGGAAAGTACTGGCACAGATGGAACAAGCCTGGCAGGTGGTCAGTCATGTGCCCTGCCTGACAACAATGGGTGTCCACGTGGAGGGCACGCACATGGCCAGGTACCCACCCCCAGTCCTGGCTGCAGAGTGGCATCGCAGCCTGTGTCCACCTCCTCAGGCTGATCTTACCAAAGGAACAGGTGTCCTCGGCTCAGGCCCCAGGAAGTGGGGTGGCCTTTGGTCCCCCTCTGGCCACTCAGCCCGGACCCTGACTGCCACTTCTGCTCAGAGGTCACACACACACAGCCGCAGCATCCCCAACCATGTGCAAATCTGCTGAGCTCAGCACACCAGTACACGGTCCCACACCAGCACACAGGCCCACACCAGCACACAGGCCCACACCAGCACTCTGTCCCACACCAGCACACAGGCCCACACCAGCACACAGGCCCACACCAGCACTCTGTCCCACACCAGCACACAGGCCCACACCAGCACTCTGTCCCACACCAGCACACAGGCCCACACCAGCACACAGGCCCACACCAGCACTCCGTCCCACACCAGCACTCCGTCTCAGCCCCAGGCTTGCTGACGCGTGGACCTACTTCTTGTCCTGGATGTGCCCTTCCACTTTGTGAAGCTCCTTCCCAAATAGCCCACAGGGCCTGAAGTGCAGCACGCATTTATCCCCTGTTCTGCAGGAAAAGAACAGCTTCCGTTATATGAGGGGAACACCACCTACCACTGCAGTGGGGAGGCAGGGGTGGACCAGAGGCCCCGGCAGGAACCATACATTGGGCCAAAGGGCCTAGGGCGTGATGGGAACATGGCAGTACTGGCACACTTTAGTCAAAACCACATAAACGTGCACTCAGCATGGAGTTACCAGTTTAAAGAAACAACGGCCCATGCGCGTCCGGGAGCCAAGCCCTGGACACGGACAGCAGGTGGGGACGCCATGCCTTCATCTGGCAAGGACAGCACTGCTCAGTGCAGAAGTTCAAAATCAAGTAAATTAATTCAGACCAAAAACCAAACCACCAGCCAACAAGAGGCCCCCACGGGCGGTGGCCAGGCAATGGCTCTCACCTGTGGTTTAAGATCTCCACTGTCCCGTACTGCTCGATCCACAGCTTGCCAATGATGACGTTGTGCACACAGCAGGTGGGGTTGGTCCAGGTGTAGGCTTCCTTATGTCTGGGAACAGTGGGGACACACGAGCTCATCAGAGGCCAGACAACTAGGCTTGACCTCTGGCTTTGAAGTCCCCGGCAGTGGCCACTAAGCTGCACGCATCTGAAATCTGTCTTCTTGCCTTTGTAGCATCAACAAAGCTTTCCACTTAAATGTCAGACAAGATAATAAGCAATAAAAGACTGAGACAGAGACGGCCTTCCCCAAGAGGCCCCTCCCCAGGAGGGTCCTGAACACAGCCGCCGGCCGTCTGAGGCCAGCACGAGGCCAGGGAGGGACCCCTGGAGTGGGGTCCTTTGTCCAACAGCTCTACAAGCAGCAGACAGCCCTGTGAGAGCCACAGGAACGCTCAGCTAGCACCTCTGAGCAGCATCAGAAACAAGCACATTGACTGGGCCTGGCGCAACGGCTCTGTGGCTGCTTCCTCACCCTCATGCACAAGACGCCATGTGGACACTGGTTCGTGTCCCGGCAGCCCCGCTTCCCATCCAGCTCCCTGCGTGTGGCCCGGGAAAGCAGTGGAGGCTGGCCCAAAGCCTTGGGACCCTGCACCCACATGGGAGACCCGGAAGAAGCTCCTGGCTTTGGATTGGCTCAGCTCCAGACACTGTAGCCACTTGGGAAGTAAATCAGCAGATGGAAGACCTTTCTCTCTGTAACACCTTCTCTCTGTAGATCTGTCTTTCCAATAAAAATAAATTAAAAAAAGAAAAGAGCCACAATCAGGCAGCAACCAGCCCCAAGCAGGGTGGGGCAGGGCCAAGTGTGGCCATGGCCTGACTTCATTGGAGCCCCCGAGAGTTCTTCCTTGTGCTGTGAACACCTCGCCCCAGCCCGCCAAACACATGCAAGGAGTCCTCTGACCACAGGCATCATCCACGTGTGTCCTGGTAGCCATGTCTGTACCAGGTCCACTCCCTGGGACTGGGATGAGTGCACCCTGCCCAAGCACACCGTGCCAACACAAAGCCAGAGCTGCACAGGTACACTGCCCAGGTCATGGGGTGCCAGATACTCTGCCCTGCAGTTGGCCAGACACTGGCCTCAGCTCAGAGGAGTCTTGGACGGACGCTGGAGGGCAGGTACCGAGTCTGACTTGAACAGGTGCTGGGCAGCTTCGTAAACTGACCCTCCAATGACCTTACTTCCCGAACCTAAACTTCCACCACCCCTCCCACTCCGGGGGTCTGTGCGACCAAGGACATGCAGCACATGTGGCTTGCAGGTGTCACCCCCTCTGACTCAGCTGCTCCTGTCCTAGGCCCCAGGAGGGATGCCGGATGCCAGCTGTCAGCAGGGTGTCCAGTGGCCAGGGGACTGAAGTGCCCACAGCGTGAAGGAGTGCGGAAGCAGAGGCTGTGGGCTACAGGTAAGAGGTACAGTGAGGGCCAGAGGTAGGCCATGAGCCAGGGAAGGACAGGCCATGCAGGCCTCAGCCCCGCACTCACTTGAGGAGCTCCAGCGTGATTGTCCCACGGGGTTCAGCCTCCACGCTCTTCCCCCAGAACCGCAGCTTTGGGTAGATGGAGCCATGAAACACAAAGTCCTTGTGGAGACCTTCCGAGTAGAAGGCGCTGACAGGGGGGTGGTGGCTGACCTGCTCAGATATAAACCTGAATCCGAGGTCCTCCCTGGGAGTGAGACAAGAGTGGGGGAGGATGAGAGCAAGTGGCAGAAGGCCCTAAGGTGGGCCAGTGCAGCTGCCAGCCACGGCGGAGCCCACCGCCCACCACCCAGCAGGCACACGCCCTTAGCCCCCAAGAGCCAACTGCTGCCAACGGAGCTGCCACCAGCGCAGAATGCCCACCTGGGCCCCTCAGGGCAGGGGCCCCCTTGGGGTGTCCCTGTCACAAGGCTCCTCAGATGCCGACAAAGGAGCTATTGTGCCCAGACACTCCGGGCTGGGTAACAGCACCTTGCAGTACACTGTATTATTCAATAAAAATGTCAGCTTTTAATTGTTCAGCACTGTGAATACACCTACAGCTGGAGTCATTAAAAATTATCAAAGCCAAACCACATAATTAACTGGAATCAGAATTTCTAATCATTATAGAGGAAGGAAAGCTGAGAAATCAATTTTAAAAGGTGCCTAGGAGGGATGTAATTTTCAGAATGAACACTTGTCTAACAAAGGGAAGTGTATTTTTAGCCCTGCAGGAGGGCCCGCCAGGGGTCAGGGACACTGGCAGGGCCCGTGAGGAGCACTAGGCCAGCCCTGACTCACGGGCAGGAATGCCATGTGGGTGCCACCGCCCCCAGGCCCTTGACCTCACAGCCCGGGGCCCACGCTCAGTTGGCTAATCCTCCCTTTGCGGAAGTGCTGGCATCCCATAGGAAAGCGGGTTCATGCTCCGGCTGCTCCACTTGCCATCCAGTTCCCTGCTTGTGGCCTGGGAAAGCAGTGGAGGACGGGCCAAGGCCTCTACACCTGCACCCGCGTGGGAGACAAGGAGGCTCCTGATCAGCTTAGCTCATTGCAGCTACTGTAGAGTTGAAACAAAAATGGAGTAAACATCGCTTATTGCTAATTCTTCTCTCTTTTGTAACTTCTGCATTATTAGTTTGGCTAAGAAACTGGGTGAGCTTGCAGACCTAATGGCCTGCGTGACCTTTAGTGCCAATGGCCCCCCAAGTCCCCCATAAATCAAGGCCCCCAGCCTTAATTAACCCACAGATAACTCCAAGATCAGAGTCTGTTTGTCACAGGTGGCACCAAGGCCAGAGCCAGGACCTGAGAAGGGGCTGACAGGGGCGGACGGGGGCGGATAGGAGTGGACAGTGGCGGAGAGGGGCAGAGAGGGGCGGACAAGGGGTGGACAGGGGCAGACGGGGGCAGACAGGGGCTGCCCAGCTGTGGTAATCAAGGAATGTGCTCCCTCGCCCTACAAGCTAGTGTAAACTCTATAAGAACCCTGTGGATGTGCTGTTTGGGGCACACTCCAGCAAGGGCTGTCGGTCCCGGCTCTGATCGGCCGCTCAGCCGGCTATCTTGCCTCTCATTTATAATCAGTTGTGACTGTACTGGTGAATGCAGCATCCTGTTCTAGCGGTCGAGTGGATACAACACCACTTGGAGAGTGAGCCAGTGGGTCGAAGGTCCTCTCTGAATGTGCCTTACACGCACATGGTGGCGAGGCAGAGAGATCTTACAGCTTTACCACCAGCACGGTTACAACAGCCAAGCCCAGGGCTGGCCAGGTCAGGAGCCAGGAGCTCTGTGTGGCTTCCCCAGGCCCGGGCCACCCGCGGTGATGACCTGCACTTGGGCTCCGCCTGCTCCAGAGCAGCAGCTGTGCTCATCTGAGAAATTTACCAGCAGGTCTAAGATCTCCTTCTGTCTCTCCCTCTCTCACGGGGGCAGGTGCTGAGCCACCCAGCTCCCAAGAACAGCGGTGTTGGACTAAGATCTTCAGCAGCCAAGCCCTGAGAAGGGGACCCTGACACCCACGATGCTTCCACACTTTGCCGTAGCTGCCGGGCAACTGCATGGGAGGCCTCCTTCACCAGCCAGGAAACCGACGCCTGCACACAGCGGCCGCCGGGGAAGCTTGCTGGACAGTACTGGACCCTCCATGCCGGCACACAGTCGCCATGGGGCGCCCCTGAGCACACACTCACCCTGGAAGGGGTCTGGTTGCTAACAAAGGCCCACCTAGGACAGCATCCTGTGGTTCCACAGTGGCCAAGCTGCTCTGAGCTGAGGCTGCACATGCTCGCACAACGTACTCCTATCTTGTGAGAAAGACACAAATACTGCCGATCCAACCATGACATCCAGGGCCGGCGCTGTGAGAAGGCAGGAGCAGCTGCCGCCTGGACACAGGCCTCCTATAGTGTGCCAGCTTGAGAGCAGGCTGCCCCATTTCAGATTCAGTCCCTGCTGATGGCCTGGGAAAGCAGTGGGCAGTCCAAGGCCTTAGGACCCTGCACCTGTGTGGGAGACCCAGAAGTTCCTGGCTCCTAGCTTCACATCCGCCAAGCTCTAGCCACTGTGGACACTTGGGAAATGACCCAGCAATGGAAGATCTCTCTCACTCCCTCACTGTCTCCTCACCTCCAACTCTGCCTTTCAAATAATAAACCTTTTTTTAAAGGTTCTCAAGCATCACAGAAAGGTGACTGTGGCATACTGACAAGTCCCCACGTTACATCAACATCGTTACACTGAGTAACTCCACGCTGACAGTGCCTGGCTTGGTCATCTCTACCACCACTGTATTGCAGTGTCTCTGAACACCGTGCTCTGGCTATTAAAACTGACTTTATCCTATCAAAACATGCCAGGAGGGCAATCTGCAGCCCACAGTGCGAACGAGCAGCTGCTCTGGCAGGACTCCCTTCCTCGGAGAACCAGACAACACCATCAGGAGCCCTCCTAACCTGCACACTGGCTCCTAGTGCAGCCCAGGGCAAATGCCCTCCACATATCCCAACTTCCTTCCCTGTGGCACAGTGAGCTGTGGGAGCTGGGGGAGGAGCAGGGTGAGGAGCAGGGGGAGGAGCAGGGGAGGAGTACAGAGGAGCAAGGGGAGGAGCAGGGGAGGAGCACAGAGGAGCAGGGGGAGGAGCAGGGGGAGGAGCACAGAGGAGCACAGAGGAGCAGGGGGAGGAGCAGGGGAGGAGCACAGAGGAGCAGGGGGAGGAGCAGGGGGAGGAGCAGGGGAGGAGCAGGGGGAAGAGCAGGGGGAGGAGCAGGGGAGGAGCACAGAGGAGCAGGGGGAGGAGCAGGGGGAGGAGTACAGGGGAGAATGACAGGATTCAGGGCAGGCGAGGGAAAGCATGGCTGCCATCCCAACACAGTCCGCAGGGTGCGCCCGTCACTGGGGCAGCCAAGTCCCAGCCCAGCCTGTCAAGGCTGCTCAACCTGCCCTGTCTTCCGTGTCTTCTATGGCTAACATTCCCAGCCAGCTCTTAGCAGGGCTGACCGCCAGGTGTGCAGTGAAGCCCACCACAGGCTGTGGGCCCTGGGGCCGGCCCCAGGATGAGAGTGGATGGAAGGGGAGGGGAAGGGGTGACCACACAGGGGAAACTAGTGGATAGGAACCTGACGAGGGCTTGGGTAAGCAGGGAAGAGCGGCAGTGATGCCTACGTCACCAGCCCACAGTTCCTGCAGCCTGCCAGGCAGACTTCCATGGTGCCACTCTTCTCTTGGGGGCAGCCCCAAACCCACATGAGAACCCTGGGCAGGGCAGCCTGGCTTCACGCTCTCCTTCTCTGATTTTGTCACTGCTAAGAACATGGCCTACTGCACAGACATGGCACCCACACATGAAGGCCTTGGTGCAGATCTCAGCCCTAGCGCATCCGATGCCGTCATCAACTCCGCCGGTCCACAAGGCCTCGGTGACAGCGTCAACGACACACCCCTCCATGCGACACATCTCCCTGTCCGCAAGGTCCCTCAAAGACGTCCCTGGGAGGGGTGGCTCTCCCTTACCTGACGAGCTCATACGTTTCTCCCAAGAGCGGGTTGAAGGGTTTGCCCGTTCTCTCCCACTGGGACGCCACGGCGGACACGGCAAACGCAGCCACAGACTGCAAGGGACACAGAGGAGCAGAGAGCTGCCTCAGTGAGTGTTGACTCTCGGGCAACTGCCACCAGTCCCACATCCGCTCAATGTACAGGAAGACGCTCCTTTATCTCCCACGCGTGCTCAAAGCCAAAGGAGGAAGAGCTGCACTGCTGCCCACGGCCAGGGCTCGGCTCTGCCCACAGACTGTGGCGACCTGCCTGCCTCACAAGCCACACAAACACACTCGAGACACACTGGCACACACGTGTGCCCATGGACGCTGCACCCATGCACTCATGCATGCACATGTGCATGAGACACAGGCTCACTCTGCATGCAGACACGGGCAGCTGCACATACATGTGCACACACACAGATTCACAGCTCTGGGCGCAGACCTGTCCCGTGTGCCCCACACGGCTGTACACACACCCACACGTGCACACACACACAGATTCACAGCTCTGGGCGCAGACCTGTCCCGTGTGCCCCACACGGCTGTACACGCACCCACACGTGCACACACACACAGATTCACAGCTCTGGGCGCAGACCTGTCCCGTGTGCCCCACACAGCTGTACACGCACCCACACGTGCATAAACTCATGCGTATTCTGAGTACGCTACTACACGTTCACTCTGATGCAGACAGGCAGGTGCAGTGTGCCCGTGCATGATACACACACTCAACACCTATGTCCACCAACTCACACACAGGCTGGCACAAATGCACACCCAGTGATATATCCAGACACAGCTAGGTACATATGTGTGCACACGCAGCCAAATACACACATGTGTGCGCATAGCCATGGAACACGTGTGCATAGTCACACATGTGTACACACAGGTACATGCAGCCATGCACGTGCATTGCACACGCACACCCTAGGGAAAGGACACTGAGAGGAGCCAGGTAAAGCCTGCCACCACCTCAGCTCCTGCAGAAGGCAGCAGGGAGAGCCCGGCATGGGAGCACGCTGAGCCTGCGCAGTGTCCCACCTGCATCCTGTCCAGGGGCTGGGCCTGGCTGGAGGCACGCTGCACCAGGAACACGTGTTCCATGTACTCAGTGATGCGCTGCAGAAAGCTCAGCGGCTCGTTGAAGGCGACTGGCATGGTGATCTTCGACAGCTCCTGAGTGAAGACCTGCTCGTTACCTCCCTGCCCTCCTGAGTCAGGGTGCCCCGTGGAGCTGCAGACTCCTGTGCTGGGTGGGGACCCCCAGCAGCCCCGGCAGCCCCGGCAGCCCTGGCAGCTTCTGCTGCACCTCGTGTGGGATGATCTCTCCCCGCCTCTGTCTTTCAAATAAAAATCTTAAAAAACAAAAACAAAACCCCCTAACCATTTAAAGTGTTATGCAAACACAAAGAAAACGAAGCAAACAAATCTCTCCCAAACAAATGTATCTCCCTCCGTGGTATAATTTCCCAGAGAATGACCTGGATTGTTTCATTTGTTCTATATTTACTTGGTGACTCTGGAAAGGCAAACTGACAGATCTTGCATCTGCTGCTTCATCGCCCAGGAGCCTACCACAGCCAGGAGTCAGGAACTCCACCCAGGGCTCCCAAGCTGGGGCAGCAGCCTAGGGAGCTGGCGGGCACCTGCTGCCCTCAGGCACACTGGCAGGAAGTAAAGTTTGAGGCGTGAAGCTCCTGCCACTTGGATCAAGGACCCCAACCTGGGGCGCCAGATCCCACACAGTCACAGCCCTGGAAGGCAAAGCCGTCACAGAAACGCTCGGAGGGCAGCAGGGGCCAAGCAACACACACAGCTTGGGGCTGCCCGCACATGTGGGCATGTGCACAGGGGAGGGGTGAGGACACGTGGGGTGGTAACTTATGAGTGGTGAATCCCACTGGTATGATGGCTCACTCCCCAAGCGGCCGCAATGGCTGGAGCTGAGCAATTGAACCCAGGAGCCAGGAGCTTCTTCCCAGTCTCCCACTCAGGTGCAGGGGTTCCAGGGTCCAAGCAATTGGGCCGAACTCCTCTGCTTGGCCAGGTCACAGCAGGGAGCTGGACGGAAAGTGGAGCAGCCGGGATTAGAACCAGTGCCCAAATGGGATCCTGGCGCCTGAAAGGTGAGGATTTGCCATTGAGCCATCAAGCCAGGCCCTCAAGTAAATCTTGCACGGCACAGCACACTGGCATGCTGGCCGCATGGCCAAGGCCGGTCAACAGGGTGTTGCAGGAGCTCTCCTCAGAAACCCTTGCTGGTCTGACTGTCCTGTACAAACTGCCACGCTGTAGCAAGTGCAGGAGAGGGGCCAGCCCAGCGCAGTCAGCCCAGGGAGCAAGGGCAGCATGGCCACTTCCACAGGCCACCAGGCAGAGGCAGCTTGCAAATCCAGAGCAAGGGGCACCCACAGGTGTCCTGACCAAGGGAACCGAGCCAGGAAGAGCCAAAGAATGGGCTTCCTGGGAATGTTCCAGAATAATGGTGTCTGTTAGCCTGATGGGTTTCGTGTTCTGTACGAGACACTCATCGCTGAGAGACGAATCAGAAATACAGAAAGAAGGGCAGCCACGTGGGGGCATTGACGAAGCTGCTGACCTCCTGTGGGCACGGCTGGGGGCTCCCAGGGCCCTGCTGCGGCTGCTCCAGTGTGGGGGGGCACTGATCAAGGAGATGGGTGGAGCTGAGCCCCAAAGCTGAACTGTGGGAGAGCAGGCCCCCAGCGGGCAAGCATCCAGGCTCTGGGCCTTGCACCGCTCTGCCCCAGCTCTCCAGAACTTCTTGGCTTCAGAGCCAGGAAGGGCATTCTACAGCAGCCTGTCAAGTTCAGCACACACCCTCAGCCAAATGCCCGCCACGATCTGACTGTCTAACAGAGCTGAAATCCTAGCAGAACCTCTGCCGGCAGAAACGAACCTCAAAGGTGGCACTCGGCCGCAGCACTCAGCCAGACATCCGTCCAGCTTTTCTGCTCAGGGATGCAAGCCACACGAAGCTGGGGGTGGGGGGAGGGGTGTGCGCCCGGCCCAAACCCCCAGCTCCTAACACCCTGGAGGGCTCCTGGAGCAGGGGCTGGTGCCAGGGCGGAGCCTGAAGGTCAGCGGCCACTGAGGGCAGGGCTCTGGAGGGGCGGAGCCACCTGGTCCCACAGTGGAAGGACACCTGACAGTGTGGACTACACCTACAGAAGAGAACCCACTCAGAGAGGAGGGGCCGTCTCCCTGCCCAGGGGCACCCATGACACCCTCCTGTGCCAGGCTTCCAGGGCACAGCTGCTTCCCTGCAGCCTGTATGGACACAGCCTGTCTCCTCCCCTTCCATACCTACTGGCTTCCTTCCTGTTGATCAGCTCTTTGAATTCTCGAGGCAGAGACACCATCTACAGGCCCACTCTCACAATGGCAGGTGCGGGGCCAGCTGCAGATGGAGCTGGGAGTTCAGACCAGGCCACCCGCAGTGATGACAGGAACAGGACGACTCCAGCCATGACCGCTGGCCCCAAGGAGGTGTCAGAGAAGCTGGGTTCTAGAGCCAGCCAGGGACTATGCCATGGGACACCGGCCTCCTGATCAGAGCCCAGACGCCCGTGCCGTTTGATCACAGCGCTTCCTGCTCCTTAACGGTGTGTTGTCTCCAACCTGGCATGATAACCTAGTGGCTAAAGCCCTCACCTTGCATCCTCCAGGATCCCATATGAGTGCTGGTTTGTGTCCTGGCAGCCCTGATTCCCATCCAGCTCCCTGCCTGTGGCTTGGAAAAGCAGTCGTGAACAGCCCAACGTTGTACCTGCAGGGGAGACCTGGAAGAGGCTCCTGGCTCCTGGCTTCAGATCAGCTCAGCTCTGGCTGTTGAGGCCACTTGGGGAGTGAACCAGTGATGGAAGATCTTTCTGTCTCTCCTTCTGTCTGTAAATCTGCCTTTCCAATAAAAATAAATCAATCTTAAACCATAGATAAGCAAGAATGCACTGCTCACCAGGCCGATGCACTTCTTCAGGATGCTCCACACGCTGAAGTCGCTCCGCGTGAACATCGGGGCGGGCAGGCAGGTCCTGCAAGGGCGGGCCACACACATTAACCCTCTCAGCATACGCCCCACCATTTCCACAGGAAACCACCAGCACCCCTGGCCCCTGAACAGCTTCTGCAGGGCTATGGGATGGCTGTGGGGACCCACACCCCAGGCGACCATGCTATGTGCCTGCTGTCCCCTTCAGGATCTCCTGCCCATCCGCAAGGGCAGCTGTCTAGGGCAGAGGGCAGAGGGCAGGCCAGGGCAGAGGGCTGGCCAGGGCAGAGGGCAGGACAGGGCAGAGGGAAGGCCAGGGCAGAGGGCAGAGGGCAGGCCAGGGCAGAGGGCAGGACAGGGCAGAGGGAAGGCCAGGGCAGAGGGCAGAGGGCAGGCCAAGGCAGAGGGCAGAGGGCAGAACAGGACAGAGGGCTGGCCAGGGCAGAGGGCAGAGAGCAGAACAGGACAGAGGGCAGAGGGCAGGCCAGGGCAGAGGGCAGGACAGAGCAGAGGGCAGAGGGCAGGACAGAGCAGAGGGCAGAGGGCAGAACAGGACAGAGGGCAGAGAACAGGACAGGGCAGAGGGCAGAGGGCAGGGCAGAGGAGAGGGCAGAGGGCAGGACAGGGCAGCAAGTGAGGGCAGATAGAAGCAGTAACTGTGCCCAAGCCTAGCACTCAGAGCCGCACCTCAAGACTCTCCATCCTGTGCTCACAGTCACCCAGACCCGTGGCCTTAGGGCCAGGAGCGAGTGGATGTGCAGCACGGCCTGCGAGGGGCGAGTGACCAGTACCACGCTGCCCAAGGACACGGGTCCTCTCCACCATGTCCCACAGAGCATCCTGCGGCTGCCCCAATGTGGTCACCCACAAGGGCACCCCAGGAAGGTCAGGAAGGGGCAGGGCCTGAGGATACGATCCCACCCCCCCTGGTAAAAGCCAGAAACCAGAGCAAGACTATGACCAGACAGAGGCCAAGAGGGAAGAAGCCACCGGCCCAAGGCCAGCAAGGTGGAGGCTGCCAGCCCGAGAGGGAAGAGGAAGTGGCCAGGAGGAAATGGCCCAAGAAGGAAGCAGTGGCCCTAGGCTGAGTGGGCCACCCAGAGGGGAAGGAAGGGAGGCGGCTGCAGGTCCCACAGAGACACTGTGAGACGAACAGGATCTTCGCAGAACCAGAAGGCAGAGGGCGGGGGTGGGGCTGTCAGCTGTGAGGGGGACTGAAGGGCAGGGGAAGAACAGGCAGACCCTCAGGCTGGAGGGGCAAGCAGCTGGCATGTGACAGGGTAACAGAGAGCCAAGGACCCAAGGAGAGGGACAGGATGTTCTAGGCTCACTGGAGTCAACCTCTCCAGACTCGATGTCACCTTCAGAGGTTACAACTCAATGCTCGGCCTGGTACCGCCTGCCAGGCCATCAGCAGCTCAGTGTCACGCCTCGACCACCCGCTCCCAAGTCCCCTGTCAGGGGCACAGAGGCAGGCCCCCGGCAACTGGAGGATGGACGTGCCTGGAGGAGCCAGCAGGAGCTGTCACAGGCTGGGCTCTGGCTGTGCGCAGCGAGAGCAGGGGACAGGGCGCTCAGCGTGAGAGCAGCAGCGTCTGGGGACAACATACCTGTGTGTCTGAATCCCATTCTCTTGAGAGGGTCTCTCCCCTGCCTTCCCAGGCCTGGGGTCTTCGCTCAAGTCCAGCTCAGCTATCCCAGGGCCTTTTTGACTGGGCTCTGAAAACTCCCCAGATGAGCGGTCAGAGTCGAAGCCTGCACAACAAGCACAGCCGTCACTGTCACCTGGCCAAGGCCCCATGGGCCCGACCAGCAGCTCCCAGTCCCACTCCTGTTCAGTCGCCCAACTCCACCGCCCAGGAAAAGAGGGTCAACAGAAGGCACGGCCAGAGGGCCGCCAGCAGCCTACCTGCCAGGGCATGTCCAGTGCAGGACGCCCTGCCCAGCCAGCTCCATCACGTGCCCCTGGGAGGGCACTGGAAGATGACCCAAGTATGCAGAGCCTTGCCACCCAAGTGAGGGATGCTGGGTGGGTCTCCAAGCTCGTAACTCATTTTTACCCAGCCACAGCAGCCATCAACACATCCACACACAATACCCACGGCATACCCACTCCTTCCTGACAGCACACCCACTCACGACCCCACGGCACACACTCATGACACCACGGCACACCCACTCATGATCCCACGGCATACACACTCATGACCCCACGGCATACCCACTCCTTCCTGACAGCACACCCACTCACGACCCCACGGCACACCCACTCACGACCCCACGGCACACCCACTCACGACCCCACGGCACACCCACTCATGACCCCACGGCACACTCATGACCCCACAGCACACCCACTCATGATCCCACGGCAAACACACGACCCCACGGCACACCCACTCACAACCCCACAGCACACCCACTCACGACCCCATGGCACACCCACTCCTGACCCCACGGCACACCCACTCACGACCCCACGGTACACCCACTCACGACACCACAGCACACACTCACGACCCCACGGCACACCCAATCACGACCCCACGGCACACACACTCATGATCCCATGGCACACACACTCACGACCCCATGGCACACCCACTCATGACCCCACGGCACACCCACGCACGACACCACGGCACACCCAGTCGACCCCACAGCACACACACTCCTTCTTGACAGCACACCCACTCATGACCCCACAGCATTGAATACACAATCACATCGCACACTCAACCACAGCAGCATGGCTGACCCCTGCAGCGCCCATGGGACCACCATGGCCTGTATACCACCGGGCACACCCCCACCCAGGACTCCCCCAAGCACAGAGAGGACAGGGAGCACCGGCACAGCTCCAGGTCAAAGAACCCCAGAGGAGCCTCAGTGTCCCCAGAGGAGCCTCAGTGTCCTCAGAGGAGGGGCCAGTGTCCCCAGAGGAGGAGCCTCAGTGTCCCCAGAGGAGGGGCCAGTGTCCCCAGAGGAGCCTCAGTGCCCCCAGAGGAGGGGCTCAGTGTCCCCAAGCGAGGATGGCCACTGCTCGGCACCTCCACCCAGGGCCGAGGCAGCTGAGACGCCCTGTGCAGCTGCAAGGCTGCTCCTGTGAGCACCGTGCTAACCCTCCATCAACAGGGTCACCAGACACAGCACTGAGAGCCCCGACGGGTGACAGGTGACGTAGACAGCAGGTATGACGTGGACAGCGCTGTGACAGGTGACGTGGACAAGGCCATGGCAGGTGACATGAACAGCAGGTGTGATGTGGAGAACAAACACCATGACAGGGTGACGTGGACAGCGCCGTGACGGGGTGACATGGACAGCAGGTGTGATGTGGACAGCGCCGTGATGGGGTGACGTGGACAGCGCCGTGACAGGTGACATGGACAGCAGGTCTGACGTGCACAGCGCCGTGACAGGTGACGTGGACAGCAGGTGTGACGTGGACAGCGCCATGACGGGGTGACGTGGACAGCAGGTGTGACGTGGACAGCAGGTGCGATGGGTGAGTTGATGCAATGAGCACTGGTTTGAACACAGCTGTCACCTGACTTGCTGTTATCTCCCTGAAGCACTACCCACTGAGCCCGCAGGCAGTGGTAAAGGAAACAGCCAGCTTCAGGAAGCCCCATCCCACCAGGAAGGCCAACGCAGTGTCCTGGACGAGCAGCTCTTGCCTTGGGATCCCAGTACTCTTGGGGAGCGGACCGAGACCCGAGGTCCAGGCAGGCCCTGTGCCTGGCAGCTTCATACGCACACACTGCCCTGCCCTCTACCCCTGAATGCCGCAGTTCACAGCAGCGGCCTGACCTGGCTCAGATACCTCTAGAATCAGAGTCGCCAGCTTGGACGACGGAGCCTGCCAGAACTCCACAGCTCAGGGCTGTGGCACGGCACCCAGAGGTTCCCCTCACTGGGACTTGTTCCCGAGCCAAGGCACACTGGTAAGAAATGCTCACCCACACATTGCCATTGCACTCAGGAACACCACACCCACCACCCGCCTGCCCACAGGCGCCTGTCCGCTTCCGGGACGCAGTCAGCCCTGGGGAGCACCCAAGGGACCAACTCAAGAGGCTCCCGTGCTCAGAGCAGTGTGGGTTCCCAGGGGAAGGGAGACTCCTGCAACTGGGCAGCGCCAGACAGGATGCTACTGAGGGCACAAGGGGCACTCTTCCCTCCTGCAGGGACAGCATGGGCACGACTGGCTCACCTGGCCACCAGGAATGACCAGGAGCTCACAGCCGCCTCCACCAGGGATCTCAGCCAAGTGCAAGCCCCGGCCAGGTCTCCCCAGAGCACTCTCTGGGCCACAGGAAGTGACAGCAAGAGCGCCTCCCAGCTCATGCTCCAGTCAGGGGTCCCAAAGGGCATGGTCAATCTCCCAGCACCCATTCTGTTCTTTGACCCAAGGCCAAAGAAGGCTGAACAGTGTCCCAAGTCCATCAAACATGGCCCGTGCCAAGAGGGACAGAGGGACGAAGGTGGCAAGGAGCCCTAATGGAATGGTTCTCCGGGTTCCTTTCTGGAGTGCCCCAGGGCTGCTTCTCAGGAGTGAAAAGCTGCAGTGTCAGACTCACGCTCATCTCAGCAGCGCACAGCATGAGCAGCTCGGCTCCGGCTGTGCTGGAAGCCAACGCAGTCCCTCCAGGAGCGTACGCCTCAAGCGGCGCAAGCAAAACAGATGAGGAGCAGGTGTGTAAGGCCAGGGCGCTTGCAACTCCTCACTGCAGGGTATAAAGGCCTCTCTTGGTCACACTCCTATGACCCCACAGGGCATGATGCAGTAAGAGGTAGTGCCACTCCTGGGGAGCCATCCTCATATCCCACATGCCAGTTATGATCATTGCACATGGCACATGCACACATACCCCCACTCAGATGCCAGCTGCAGCCCCTGCACACACACACACACACACACACACACACAGATGCCAGCTGCAGCCCTGGCACACACACACATCCAGATGCCAGCTGCAGCCCCTGCACACACACCACACACACACACAGATGCCAGCTGCAGCCCTGGCACACACACACATCCAGATGCCAGCTGCAGCCCCTGCACACACACCACACACACACACAGATGCCAGCTGCCGCCCCTGCACACACACATATGCCAGCTGCAGCTCCTGCACACACACACGCCAGCTGCAGCTCCTGCACACACACCACACACACACACAGATGCCAGCTGCAGCCCCTGCACACACACACACATATGCCAGCTGCAGCTCCTGCACACACACCACACACACACACAGATGCCAGCTGCAGCCCCTGCACACACACCACACACACACACACATGCCAGCTGCAGCCCCTGCACACACACACACGCCAGCTGCAGCTCCTGCACACACACACCACACACACACACAGATGCCAGCTGCAGCCCCTGCACACACACACACATATGCCAGCTGCAGCTCCTGCACACACACCACACACACACACAGATGCCAGCTGCAGCTCCTGCACACACACCACACACACACACACTCCAGGCTGCAGCTCCTGCACACACACACACGCCAGCTGCAGCTCCTGCACACACACCACACACACACACACAGATGCCAGCTGCAGCCCCTGCACACACACACACACACACACACATGCCAGCTGCAGCCCCTGCACACACACACACACGCCAGCTGCAGCTCCTGCACACACACCACACACACACACAGATGCCAGCTGCAGCCCCTGCACACACACCACACACACACACTCCAGGCTGCAGTTGCTGGTCTGTCTCCCTCCTGACTCACCAGTGACAGCATCAAAGAACTCTTCCTCGCCGCTCATCCTCCTCACTGGCACACGGGCCTCCTAGCGGATCATCGCCTCGGAGCTGTTGCCCCGGAGCAGGGTGGCACTTGGCACAGTGTACACAGCAGGGCCTGGGGTCGAGGGGACATTTGATATGGTACCAGAAGCCTTTCTGTATCTGTTTGCCATCCTTGCAATCCCTCCAACTATACCTAACAAAGGAAATGAATTCCTCCCAAGAAGCACGTGACTCCCTAGGTACGGAAAGCAGCACCCTCCTGGCAGCGTCCAGCTCAGGAACCCACAGGCCACCACCACTGTGGTCATGCTACAGAATAGCTATGAGACACAGCACTCCCTGGGGAACCCATTACAGCCCCAAGAGCCCGAGCT